CGCGCCATGGCCACGCCCCCCTGTCGGCAGCCTCTGTCGCCCCCGTGCGGGATTGCTTTCTCGCAGGGAGTCGAGGAAGTATCTCTGGGCATTAATGTTACAACACGTTTGTTAAATATAAATTGCTATTCTTTACTCTTCTACATGCTGCGAGATGCTTGGAGCTGCTTGAAGATGCTAGTCTTTGATAGGACACGAGAAGTTGTTGGCTATTGGAGAGGCCAGGGAGTTTCCAGGAATGCTCGGATCAATTGATTGCATGCATTAGCAATGAAAAAACTACCCCCAAAAGTTTGTGGGGAATGTATGAAGGTCACACCAAAGAGGCCACCATCATACTAGAAGCGATGACATTACATGGCTTATGAATTTGGTATGCATTCTTTGAAATGTCGGGTTCTCATAATGACATCAACATGCTTCAACGATCTCCGGTGTTGAGGAGGCTTTGCAATGGGGAATCACCGCTGCGCAACTACACCGTCGATCAACGGTCGAGACTACAACATGAGATACTATTTTGCTGATGGCATCTATCCTTGGTGGGTGACATTTGTGAAGACCATATCTGAACCGCATGGAAATAAACAAAGCCACTTTGCAACAATGCAGGAAGCGGCTAGGAAGGATGTGGAGAAGGTATTTGGTGTGCTTCAAGCTCGTTGAGGAATTATTCGTGGCGGTGCAATGGTGTAGGAATCGGAAACTTTGTGGCAGCTCGTGACATGTTGTATTATTTTGCACAATATGATTATCGAGGATGGGGGTGATGGTGTAGCCCAAACCAATGATTTCGAAGCACCAGGAGAACACGTTAAAATCTCGGAAGATCAAGATGCAACTTAGTCCTGAACTTTCTGCAAATGCATCAGAATCTTCGAGATCATCAGGTGCACGTGCAACTTCTGAATGATCTTGTGGAGCATATCTGGACCCACAATGAAAATCAAAGAGCTGATGTTTGAGTTGTGCATTTAAAATAAATTTTATGTAAACACTATTTTATATTCGCTACCAAACATTTGTTATTTACATGTGAATGGGATGTATGATCGACGTGCATGAATTTAAGAGTCTGGATTTAAGATATACGGCGGACATATGTGAGACTGGATTTGCCAAATCCAGCCGTAGATGCTCTAACCTAGACATGAGTTTAATAAAAGAAACAGACCAAGATCTCCGATATTTTCCGGGCAGAAAAACGCCTTCCAGTTGACCACCGAACGACCTTCCACATGATTGGTCGCCATCATCGCTCAAAACTCTGCACGGATTTCATGTTTATTCCATTTATGGAGAAAAGATTCGCTAAATACGATTTGTTTGGCCGGACCCTGGCAGCATAGCATATGACGGGGTGAGCTTTGGTGCACAGTAGGAACGTTCCTGCCACCGAACGACGCACATCCTACACCCCAAGCTCTGTGCCATGTTCGGCGAACCGTGGCGACACGGCAGTAGCACGGCACGTGGCCACAGCCGCTGGCACACTGCTACCGTGCTCCACCTGCCGGCGCTCCCATCCGGCGGCCCCATGCAACCTGAACCTGAACCACCGTCGTTCCACCGCAGTAGATCCACATGCTCCGTGGTTAGCCGGATGCGCTGAAACTGCGCGCTTGCAAGCAGAGAGGTCGCCGTCGCTCCAGCTGCGGCCACCGCGGCGCGGGGCCAGCCGGGACCCCGCTCCTGCATTGTTTCACGCCTGGGCTTTCACTCCTCGACCAGGACGCCGTCCGTTGCATGCCATTGCCATTGTTTCACGGCAACCGACCGTCGTCACGAGACAACTATGCTGCAGTAATAAACCGACGTGAACCGAGTACGGAGACGGGTGGCGACGGCACGGGAGGTGCGGTGGGTGGAGTTGGTGAGGGGGTTCCCTGCGCCGCGGGGCAGAAGAAACAACAAGTGCGACACCGACATGGACGGGGGCGCCGATCGGGGTAAACTGTCCGTTGATTTCAGCGCCGCGCACGTTCTTGGAGCTCGCCTCGGCTCACGTTGCCTCGCCTCGCGGCCTCGAGATGCCGGACGTACACCCACGTCCCAATCCGCTCGGCTTCACCGCCTGACACGTCTATTAAAATGCCAGGACTTCTCACTCCTCCATACCCGCCACTTTTAATGGCCACCGCCGGTTGAGGGGGAGAGCACAGCAGACTCACTGACGAGGCAGGCGGCAGGCGGCAGACGGCAGGTGGGATTCTCGCTTTCTTGTTTTTGAGACAAAATGCGGGGCGCCGGTGATTGCGAGCTGGAGGTCCGGGGCGTAATGGGGGAGCAGGAGGAGGCTGCCTCGGCGTCGGCATCGGAGAGGGCAATGCGGCGGCGGAGGGGGCGGCGTCGGTGGGGAAGAGCGGGGGCGGACGACGGCTACTCGACGAGCTCCACGGGCGGCCGCGGCGGGAGCAGCGGCAGCGGCTCCTTCGGCTGCGACTCGGTTGGTCTCGCCCCTCTCCTCCACCACCCATTGCTGCGTTCCTTGGCCTCGATTAATATTCGCACCTAGAGTCTCTCAGCATTGCGAGCTGTGGCAATGGCATGGGCGTGGCGCCATGCAGATCTAGCCAGAGAGCACCATGGCCTGTCGCAGGTGACCACACACCACATGAGCCTTTCCGGAAAGTGGAGGGTAAGACCCAGGAATGACATGATTAGCGAGTGAATCTAGCGATCTAACGACAAAGCCGGAGGGCCCGAGGGTTGAGGATAGGCACCATCATCGCCATCTTGATCCTTGCAGCATCGCCCTCGCTAGCAAGCGAAAAAGGAGCGGAGGGGGGGCACCACCCACCCTGGGATTCTCTCCGGTTTCCAGCTTTGCAAGATTAACTTTTTAATCGGTGCTTGATGGTTGGCTGCAGCCTTTGGCCGGATTCGTGCGCGCGGATGGCGACATGGACACAGATCTGGAGACAGACGGGCTGGCCGCCACTTCATCCTCCAGTGCCAGTGGTGAGCACCCAGCTCACAGCTCACGGCTTGTATTCTTACCAGCGTTCTTGCTGGAGCTCCACTTTACAGCCCTATTAAGAGAGTTTGCGCTCCCTGAAGCCTCCGCAGCGTTCACGGAGCCGCACGACGACGAGGAGGCGCAGTGCGGGGCGAAGGGAGAGTGGCAGGAACCGGCCAAGAGCCCGGCGGGCGGCGCCACTGCCATCCGAGGTACGTACGAGATTTCCAGGTCTGCAACGTAGTACTAGGTGGTGTGAGGTTTTCCAATCTTGTATGCTTGTGTGCTGTTCGACAGAATGCCAGAGCCAGCGACGGTGCCGGACAGAGGCTGTTTACCTGCACGGTAGGAAGGGGCTGAAGCAGCGGCCGGCCTCGCTCGACTTCGGCAGCGCCGGGTTCAACAGCGGGACTCCGTTTTCTCCGGGCTTTGTGGTCGGAGGCGCCGGGTTTGCGAGCAAGGGACTTGTGTCGTCGCAGATCAGCTCCGGCGTGTTCCCTAGTCCCGGCACGCCGAGCTATCCGCGGCGGCACCGGCCGTCGGCCTTGGGGTACCAGAAGGGGTGGAGCTCGGAGAGAGTGCCTCTTCCTTCCAAAGGTAATAATACTAGGAGGTACCCAGGCAGCAGCATGGCATTTCCTCTCAACAGTAGGAGGACACTGCCCTCAAAATGGGAGGATGCGGAGAGGTGGATCTTCAGTCCCAAATCAAACGCCGGCGATGCGCGTGAGAAGACCGCCACATTGCCCCATGCTCGACGGCCGAAGGCTAAAAGTGGTCCTCTTGGGCCTCCTGGAAGACTTGGTGGACAGTATTCATCTGTATCTTCATCTGTCTCTTTGTTTGACAGTGGGAGAGTTGGGCATTTAGCAGCAAACTCACCTTTCTTGGCTGGAGTACTGATACCTGAACACTATGGTGGGGCGAAAAGTAATGTTGGGAGGTACACAAGTGGAACAGCTGGTGATGAGTTCGGTATTGGCATAGTTGGCGGGTCTTCTCTAGCACATATCGGGTCTCCTGCTATGCAATCTACCATGGTGCGCCGACGACTAGATACTGCAATTGAGTCATCTGCATCATTGCCCAGCACCCAAGAATCTGTACAAGGTATTAAGAAATTTCTACCCATCATTTTTAGCCTATTGCTTAGTATTGAATTATGGGTCTACAAAGTATAAACATGTAGAGGGCAACCCTCTGTTTGGGGTTTGCGGTTGTCTCTCTGGTTGCTAAAGCACTGTTAAATTGTGAAGCTCCTCATGAGTTGCATTATAAACACTAGTTTTTGGCATTTGGTATCTTGGTAACTTGGTAACTGATTTTATCATAGCACTTGCAAGCTGAATATCACCAGAAGTTGATCTTATGCTTTTACTGTACCTAATGAGAATTAAGTAAATCTTCAGCTGATGCTTGTTTGTTTGGTTTCATATCAGGCGAAGAGGCTGAGTTCGTAGAAGATTCAGCCCCCATTGCCACCCCTATAATTTCAAGGAAGGATACCGCAACTCAAACTAGTCCAGATCTAAGTAGGTCTTCTTCGCCCAGCGCAAGGCCTTCATTTGTTCGTTCATTCTCAATGCAACAAGCCAAAGAGAGGGAGAGCTGTTTCTCTGATCTTGAGATCAGGGATGTGCAGATGGATGAGCGCGTGAGTCTTACCAGATGGTCCAAGAAACATGTAACACAAGCCTCTAACAAGAATTCTACAAATATGTTAGAGTGGAACAAAAAGACGGTGGACTCTAAATCTTCTTCCTGGGAATCAACAGAAACAAAATGCACATTAAAGTAAGGGACCAGTGCTTACGATAAATGCTGCTTTTTGTTCAGGCATACCTCTGCTATTTTAAACCACTTTCATACAGTAATACTTGAAGCTTAACTTCTGAAAAAGTGAAAATATATAACGTGACCTGCTTATCTGGTATGTTGTGCAAATATCCAATTTTTTACCGTTGCTAAAACTCTGCAAAGTAAATTTATTCGATGAAATCATGAAATGCTGATCACTCTACCATTGTTAAAAGGGTTGAGAGAGAAGAAGCAAAACTTACTGCTTGGGAGAATCTTCAAAAAGCGAAAGCCGAGGCTGCAATTCAGAAGCTAGTGGTATGTGCTTCAGACTATTTCATAATTTCTAACTGTTTTTTTATGTAAGCAGTAAGAGCCCTACTGCCCTACTGAAATATTTTACTCATCCATAAATATTATAGTAGCAACGAGCCAAAGGATCCAAATAGTGAACTAAGCAAGTCTAGCTACAGAATAAGATAAAATCTGACTAGTCTTAGGATTGGCATCCTCTTCCTCCACCGAAATAAGCATGTGAGAACATTTTCCAAAAGAACAACTGCTTAGTGCAAGCATCCAATCCATTAGACAGGACATCAGTCATATTCTTGGGGGCTCTTACTTTCAGCCATTCTTTGTCAGACAGTCTTTTTCCAGCTATATTTGTTTGCAGGAACCATATCAAAACATACATCTCCAGCCGCCCAAGTATATTTTTTGGCCTAGCTCCTTTTAGAAGAAAAAAACTGGGACCAGTATGAACTGTAGCATGTCTACTTGTAACTGTTGTCTCATGTCACTGGTTAAGAGTATATTTTATATCTTTATGTGCTCATATTGGGCGTGATGCTTGCATTATTTACTGTAAGATGGTTCATTGTTTTGTTTTTCTCTATTGCCGTCTAGTTGACCTTCTATTGTATCCATACTTTCATTATCTCAGATGAAACTCGAGAAGAAACGATCATTTTCCCTGGACAGAATTTTGAACACCCTCAGGTCTGCTCAAAGAAAAGCACAAGGGATGCGTGATGCAGCAACAGCAAGCCAAGACGAACACCTTTGCAGGAAGGCCAAAAAGACATCACACATTACAAAGAATGGCCAGATCAGATCTCTGAGTGGCTGTTTCACTTGCCATGCTTTCTAGTATCATGCAATCCCACTACTGAGTAAGTTGCATACTGATGCCTGCAGTACAGGATCTCTGTTGATGAATATTTTCTAGTGATTTAGATGCCCATTTTTAATAAAGCCAGTAGCATCTATACTACGCTCTTTCTGTCGCATCATGCAGAATAATATAAACCGTGAAATTGCCAGTATTTCCTTGAAAATAGTCATGTTTAATTATATGCTGCAGTGATGCTTGCAGTTCATAATTATGTCACTCAATTTAGCGTGTCGATGCTCTTATGTTCACACATGAATACATAATCTATCAAATCTCCAGGATTATGGAACTTCCTGTAACATGTTCCATAGGCTTGTCACTTGTGACTGTGTTGATCCTTTAAGAACATAATTATTCAGAAATGATTTGAGGCAGGTTGAGGCAACATTTGTAGCATTGGAACTTCGTGCAACATGTTACATACTTACATAGGCTTAACCCGTTTCTGCAACATGTTCCATAGGCTAATCACATCTAGTTGAGGTAGCATTGTAACCTGTACGTGTACTGAACTTGTAAATTGCCCAAAATCCCTTACACTGTCGATAAATAAGCAGTGATTAATCTAATCACAATTCAGACCTAAGAACCTACACTATCATCCATACATGATACATGAACTGTTCCCTACTACATCCTCTGTTCCTAAATATAAGATGTTTTGGCAGTTCAAATACATCAAGCACCACAAACAGCATGCTTTAGCTCTTGACATGAGGACTTGTTGTTTTATCTTCAGGGATCTGGAGGCCCTTCAGCAGGGAAGTTCAGAGACTCACTCTGTCAGTGAAGAATCCAGGCAATCCTCAACCGACCCCGTCGCATTTTCAGAAGAATATGCTGCTGCCGCGGCTTGAGCAGGGACCATGCGTGCGCTGTCCGTCATCGTATGGACCTCCGCACAATCTGCCAAGGGGACAGGAGAAAATGGCGCCACCGAGGAAAGGAGCGATGGTGCCTCCGCGTCATCGCATGTGCCTGCCTGCCTGCTTCTTCTCATGCTTGACGCCACGCCCAGCAGGCCTGCAGCTAGCACAATGGTAAAGGCCCCCTTTATCGTTGGCCCTGTAGTGTATGTAGGTGCTACCTACGGAGCAATTCGGCCCTTGCTAGGCCGCTAGCCGCTGCGTGCCTGTGCTTCAGGCCGGCCATGTACGAGTTCTGCTTTTGGTGTGGTTGCTTCAGGTGTAGCCCAGTTGGGATCATGTCTTGGTAGTACAATCGTTGCGATACCAGGCTGGCTGCCTGCTTCAAATGTGGTTTTAGCCGGGAGAAGCATTTTTTTTCATGTCCATTTGTTGTGTTCGCGCTCAATGTTTCGTGTGCCGGCGCCCCGTGGGTGAGAGGTCACGAGATCGCTGGGATCTTCGACAGGAGGTGCTTCCTCAGGAGGGGGAAAAGGTGGACTGGATAAGGTGGACTCCGTCATTTTTGCAGCTTTCCAACGTTCGGATAGAAAGCCGACGTTCAGATAGAAAGTGTCCTACGACTACGAGTGAGGTTCTTTAGTGACTTGCTCTCCTGCACCCTCACCCTACGGCAACATAATGCACGTCCAAACAAAACCGATACTTACCCCTCATAAAACTAAATAAACCTGGATGCTTTTTGAATAAACAAAACCGACTACGAGTGAGGTTCTTTCAAGAATGATTTTTCTTAACTTACAAGGTTTTCACCATGAGAATAACATGTAAGCCAAAATGTCCACAACATGCTCAAATGCTCCCTAATAAGCAGTAAAATAAAAAAATTAATAAAAAGTTAGAAAGCTCTGAACTTTTTCTTGGTAATATTTGATAAATAATTTGTGTGCTTGCAAACGATTATCATAAAATGACATTCGTGAAAGTTGTGGTAAAAAAATCATTGCTTCAAAATGATAGTCACACAAGACATTCCGTGCTGAAATTTGTCATGCACACGAACACATTTACTCAAAGGGTTACTAAAATCAGCGACAATTAATATGGATCAAAAAGAGCACCATAGTTTGTCATATATATTTTAGAATATTTCATTAATTAATTTATTTGGATTATGTTTATTTTGAGCTCATTTGAGCTCGGCAGCAACTTGCAAAAACGTTTTATATTCTATTTCCTCCGTTCTGAATTACTTGTCGCAGGTATGGATGTATCTAGATGTATTTTAGTTCTAAATACATCCATTTCTACAACGAGTAATTTGAAACAGAGGGAGTAGGATGGAGGGAGTACTTCGTAACAGGCTGACCTTTTTAGGGTCGTTGCTTCATGCGTCCGTCCCGCGTAAAACGAACTGGTTTTGTATTGTCACGTTGCTCTTTTTCTTAGTATTTTGTACCCAGGTGGTTGGCGTAGTGGATCATTCTGAAAGGTTACGCCGCACACGATCGAACACCTTTTCCACACTCTTAGACTTTGGATGCTATAATTTACAATATCTTGTGGGCCCTTTGCTTGCTTGGATAAGACACTTTGGCATATACATAACCAATTTGTTGTCGTGCGTGCCCTCTCCACGTGGTGGACTGACAGATGATGTTGGTGTCGTCTTGTATTCTTTTTCTTCACTCCAGCACTAATCATCCAAACTATCTCCGAACTGAGAGCTTGATCTTACTTAAAGCTTATCAAACTCATCACCACGTTACTAATCAAGCATATAGTTCTAGAGACTGGAGTGCTTGGTTCCCTTGTTAGAGACAAAAAAGGAAAGATAAAACTCCTACAGAAAACTTCCTTTACATTTTTATAGAATATCATTTTCATAGGAATTTTTGAGAAACCATTCATAGCAATTTTATGACACTCATGTCGGTCTACAGGCCTCACAAAGACAATTGGCTTGGTCTTTTAGGAAAGGCCAGTGCTAGGCCCTTCGGCCGGGTCAAATTTCGGCCAAACCGCCGCGCGAGCCGCACAATGAAGACATTCACCGTTGTTAGATCCTTTCTTTATCCCCTTCATCATGCGTGTCATGCATTTTGAAGCATTGACCTTCGAATCTCTTCGCTTCCCGACCGCATTTGCCCGCGGCACTCACTGCATAGCCGCCAGCCTGCCGCCCGCGCTCGCAAACAACGACGCTACCCCACAGCTTGCCGGTAGTCACCGTCCCCATCTCCCCTCTTGCAACTTTTTCTAATGTAGCACCACCACACACTGGTTCTAAGGGCATCTCGAGCCGTTGGCCCCCCAGGGGCGCCTAAAATCGCCCTCTGGGGGTGAGCCGGCGCAAAAATTAGACCTGGGAGCGAGTTGGTCCCCAGCCGCCGGCTCCGGGCCGCCCCCAGGCACGTTTTAAAATAAAAGAAGTTCGGCTTAAACACGATAAAATTCGGCCAAACACGATAAATTTCAGCCAAACACGATAAATTCGGGCACATTTCGGCGAAGTTCGCGGATTTTCATTACATAGCACATATACATAAACTAATTTAAAGGAAAAACTGGTTGAAGTCACCGCCGTCGTCGTCGTCGGCCTTCTCCTCCTTGACGCGGGCGCCCCTGCTGGACCCCTGCCCGGCGTCGCCATGGCGGACTGGTGGCGGCGCATCGTCGTCGTCGTCGTCGCTGTTGCAGATGACGGCGACTCCGCCTTCGTCGCGGCCGCGTCGACGCTCCGCGAAGCGAAGCAGGGCGGCGCGCTGGCGCTCCTTCGCCTTCTTCAGGCGCTCCTTCTCCATCGCTATGGAGTCCCTGCGCGCCCATTTCAGGGCCGCGTCATCGTCGTCGAGCTCCGTCGTCACCGGCGCGGCCGGCTCCTTCTTCACCGGCGCGAGCTCCGGCTCCGTCTTTGGCTTGACGAAGCGCGGAGGAGGAGCCGACGAGTAGGCGCGCCGGCCGCCCTCGTTGATGACGATGCCGACGCTGCGAGTGCGCCGGACGAGCGGCGTCTCCGCCGCGGGCTCGGCCTTAACGCCGAGCAGGGCCGGAGAGCCGGAGGAGTGCGATGAAGATCGGGAGGAGGAAGAAGAGGAGGAGGACCCGAACCTCCTTGGCGCCCATGGCCCGGCGCGTCGGTGCTGCGCCGGGGCGGCCGCCCTCGCCGGGTCCGCCAACGGCGGGTCGTTGCCGCCCTCGAGGTACGTCAGCACGCCCTCGAGTGTGCGGCCGGGGACGCCCCACCACAGGTGGCGCCCCTCGCTGTTCTGCCGGCCGCCAACCACCGGTGCGCCGTTGATGGACGCCAAGCGCTGCTGCTGGCGGCGCTCGAAATACGCCGCCCAAGCCGCGTGGTTGTCGGCGGCTTACTGGGGGAGGGAGAGTTGGGCGTCGGTGAGGGAGGCGCGCACGACCTCTACTTCCTCGGCGCTGAGCCTCCACCCCGTCGGCCCGGCGCGCATGTCCGGCGGCGCCGGGATGTTCGCCTGGAACAGGAGCCAGAACTCCTGTTCGCGGAGCGAACGGCGGCCGAAGCCGTTGGCCGCCGCCTCGTCTCCGGGGTAGCGTTCCGCCATGACGACGTGCTCGGGAAAGGTAGAGAGATAGAGGGAGGAGCTGGGCGGCGGCGCTCGGGAGAGGTAGGGAGAGGGAGGAGCTGGGCGGCGGCGAGGGGCGGGGCTGGTGTGGGCACAGGCGAGTGCAGGCCACCGGCTATATAGCCGCGCCGCACCCGTGTGTACGCGTGCGAGGGAGGGGAGGCGTCGGCGCGCCGTCCCGTGACGCGCCGCCCATGAGGAATCAATGGCAAGGCTGACCGGCGGCAGCCTTGGCATTGATTCCCCGCGGGAACCGAGGCCGTTGGGGGAAGACGAGGCGCCGTGTCGCTGACGAGGCGCGCCAAAACAGTTCGGCCCGGCGCCCCCGGGCGCCCCCCAGCACGCCGGGTTCGCCCTGAGTCCGCCGACGCTGTTTTCGGCCCAGGCCGGCAAAAATCGGGCTCCTGGGGGTGCGACTAGACCGTTTTTTTGGCGCCGACGCGAAAAAATCGCCTGGGAAGGCCTTCCTGGGGCGCAGCTGGAGATGCCCTAACTCCGCCTCCCGCAGGAT